TAAGTCAAGTGGAGAGTAGCTAAGTCAGGTGGAGAGTAGCTAAGTCAAGAAATGATAAAGTGAAAGAGCTTAAACAAAAATGCCAAAGGGTGGTCTGAGAAGACAAAGTAAAGTCTTCTAACAAAATGCACAAATACACAGAGTGAGAAAACCAAAAATGAAGAACAGGCTTGGCATTTCTAGAGCGGAAAAAACTGAAGAAAAAAGTCAAGCTTCAAGCTGCAATATTAAGGGATTCAATGAACCAAATAGTGAGTGTTGTAGAAAGCATCAGAAAAAGGTGAGAGGAATACACAGAGTCACTGTACCAAAAAAAAAAAAAGTTGATGGTTTAGTAATTTGGGGAGGTAGCAAATGAACAAGAACCGATGATATTGGAGGAAGAAGTTCAAGCTGCACTGAAGGCCTTGGTGAAAAAACCAGAAACAAACAAGGCTCCAGGAGAAGACAGGAGGCCAGTTGAGATGTTTCAACAAATGGATGTAATGCTTGATCCTCTTACTTATCTATGTCAAGAAATTTGGAAGACAGGTACTTGATCCACCAACTGGAAAGGGTCCATATTTGTGCCTATTCCAAAGATCACTGATCCAACAGATGTAGAAATTATTGAACTGTATCATTAATATCACACACAGGGTTGAAGCAGTTCATCAACAGGAAGCTATGAGAAATCCAAGCTGGATTCAGAAGTGAACTTGGAATAAGGGAGATCCTCGGTGATGTCAGAAGAGCCTTGGTTGAAAGCAGGGAATGCTGAGAGGTTGTTTACTTGTGAGGTATTGACTACGCAAAGGCATTCAGCTGTGTGGATCAGAATGGAGTATGGATAGCATTGCAAAGACTTGGGATTCCAGAACACTTAGTTGCGGGCTCCTGTGGAATCTCCTGAAGAGACAGTCATTCAAACAGAAGTGGGCGAAACCATCTGCTTTAAAATCAGGAAAGGTGGGTGCTAGTGGTGTACCCTTTCACCATGTTTATTCATCTCTATGCTAAGCAAATAGCCTGGGAACCTGAAATATAGCAAAAAGAATGTGGCATCAGGATTAGAACAAGACTCATTAGCACCCTGCCAGATGCAGATGAAGCGATCTAGCTTGCTGAAAGAGAAGAGGGTTTGAAGTGCTTCCTGATGAAGATCAGAGAATACAGCTTAACCATAAAGAAAACAAAAATCCTTACAGCTGCACCAATAAGCAACATCACGATGAACATTGAAAAGTCCGAAGCTATCAAGGATTGATTTCATTTTGCTTGGATCCACAATCAACCCTCAAGGAAGCAAGCGGTCCAAGAAGTAAATGACATATTGCACTGGTCAACTCTGCTGTCCAAATCTCTCAAAGGCTTACAAAGTAAAGATATCAGTTTGATAAGGAAGATGCACCTAACCCAAGCCACGGTGTTCTCAATCACCCTCTATGCGTGCGAACGCTGGACAATGAATTGGGAGACCTGAAGGAAGACCGATGTCACGGTGCTAGGGTGTTGGGGAAGGATATTGAATATAACAAGGACTACCAGAGAAACAAACACAGCTGTCTTGGAAGAAGTGAGGATGGTAAGACTTTGTCTCGTGCACGCTGGCTATGTGACCAGCAGGGAACAGCAATTGGCTGAAGACATCATGCTTGGTCAAGTCGAGGGTCAGGGAAAAAGAGAACGACCCTGAAGGAGAGAGATGGGTTGACACCGTGGCTGCACCCAGGGGCTCAAAGCTAACAATGATGGTGACAGTGGTGCGGGGTCGGGCAGCGTCTGGTTCTGCTGTGCATGGGGCAGCTTTGAGTCGAAACCGGAACTGGTTCCAAGGCACCTTGCCAACAACAGCATCCGGAACAAGGAGATATGGCTGTCGGTTCTTTAACTGCCCCACCTGTGACTTTCTGTGTGGCAGCCCCAGGAGGCTAGAGCAGGATTTAATCGAAGCATGTTCACCTCTGCAAGGTCAGGGTGCTGAGTGACCTGCCTGGGGTCCCCGTGGTGGGTCCACTGTTGACCCTGCCCTGGGCTTAGTGTGGGGGCATGAATGATGTGTGGGTCTTGAATGGAAGCTCCTGACTTTCTCCCCTCTCCCTCCTTCCCTGCGTCTCAAGCGGGGCACCAAAGTCCTGCAGTATTATTTCCTCCTCATCTGTTCCTTCACCCCGGAATCAGGCCTTGTCACCTTTCAGGGCATCACAGTGACAGCTGCTGTCCCAGCCTCCCAAGCCCCTTGGCAACTCTCCCTCCAGCTTGACCTTGAAGGATTTGCTCTGTCCCTTGCCCCATGCCCTGCATAGAGCTGTTGTCCAGTGGCTACGGCCCTTCTCTCCTCCCTCTCCCCTCCCTGGGCTGTAGGTCAGTATCCTTGTTAGAAGACGTGGTGGCCAGAGCCAACAATGAGAATAGAGATACCAGGAGGATTAGGGGAGGGTGGGGGCAGAAAGGGGGAAATCAACCATAAGGATCGACCTATAACCCTCCCAGGGGGACGAACAATGGAAAAGTAGGTGAAGGGTGACAGAGGACGATGTAAGATATGAAAATAATAATCTATAACTTGTCAAGGGTTCATGAGGGAGGGCGGGTGGGAGAGGGAGGGGGAAAATGAGGAGCTGATATCAAGGGCTCAAGTAGAAAGAAAATGTTTTGAAAATAATGATGGCAACATACGTGCAAATGTGCCTGACACAATGGATGAGTGTATGGATTGTGCTAAGAGATGTAAGAGCCCCCAAGGAAAAAAAAAAAAGAAGAAGAAGAAAAAAAGAAGTGGCGGCAAATAGGGACAGGGGTGTTGTCTTGTCTCTGCCATCTGCTCACCACCGTGTGCCATCCTCAGGGCAGGCCCAGCCCAGCCCACGCTGCCTGTGCGTGAGACACACACGGTGCCCTCCCTCCTCATCTCCCATCTTTCAACAAGCGCTCACAGACTGACCCATCCTTCTGGAGGGCAGTGCGGCAATTCCTCTCAAGAGCCTTAAGGACATGAACAGCTCTGATTCAGAAATTAACTTCTCAGTTGAGTCTTATGCATGTCGCCGGGACCAAGCACAAAGGTTCCACTCCTCGGGCGTTTACAGCGGGCCTGATACAGACACCCCATCCACCACCAGGACCACCAGGTTAGGCGCTCCTGTTTGTGTTCTCATAGCAACCCCTCCCTCCTGGATCTTGATGAGTAGTTCATGCTCTAGCAGTTATGTGTTGACGGGCCTGTATTGTGGACTGGCCGAGGAGGTCCCTAAAGGAACTGGTCTGCTGTATGGTCGCGTCCCCTGCACCTGGCACCAAGCTGGCCACCTGCTGAGTGACTGAGTGAGTGACAAGTAGGACGAGTTGGAAGGATGGATGTTCACTTGTGGTGGAGGGGCTGGAGGCAGGGAGGTCTGCCCTGGGCTACTGCAAAGATCCCGAGAGAAGAGGATGCCTGCAGAATCACCTGGCGGTCTTGACGGCAGGCTGCACAGAGATTCCTTGGTAAGATGACTCCCAGGGCAATATCCGTCCCAGTGAATTAACTGCCATCGATCAATATTAAGGGGCGGGACTGCTTTCTAATGGGCCCAGAAGGATGGGTGCTCCTGTGAGGGTGCGGACGCTTGTCAAATGCTGGACAATCTGGCGAATAATCACAAATGAGCCAGTGTTTCTAGAAAAGGGTATTCATGACTGGATTGCACAACAGAACGCTTCCTGGGGCCTGGCTGGGGCCTGGCGGAGGCTAGGGGAGACCATATGTGCCTTCCTTCCCAGGACTCTCAGAACTTGGGTTACTGTCCCAAGTTCACAGGTGACTTCCAAGTGACTATGTCTTCCACTGACCTGATGGCTGCTAAAAGCAAAAAAGTGTGTGTGTGTGTGTGTGTGTGTGTGTAATGGTAGCCTAGGGGCTGGATTTCAGGGTGTCTGAGGGTCACCTCAAGGCCCTGACTGAGCACTGAAGACTTGGTGGGCTTTTTCCATGGAAGGAGGGATCCTTGATGCCCAGGGCCTTGATTTGGGGGCTGGGGGAGACAAGAGAGATTGGTATCAAGGGCATGGCTCAATGCCATCATCTTCTATTCCGGCGACCCTCCCCTGATAATGATGCTAATGTGTGCAACACAGGGCTGAAGGGTCACAGCGGAGGAGGTCGGTGGTGAGCCAGCCAGGGGGAGGGACCCCCTGGGGAGAGGTCAGTGAAAGGAAGGAGCTCTTGGGGATGCAGGCTGTTGGGATGGAGAGGTTCAGGGAGGAGGTGGGGGCTCTGGAAGGGCTGGGCTTGGAGAGGGGTGGGACTCTGTGAGGGGGCTGGGCAGTTTCCCAGAATAAAATTCAGAAGGCTGGCCCTTGTCTGCCCCTGCCAGGCTTCTCATTCCCCGGCCACACCCCCGGCCCACACTCACGGCACTGCTGGAGTCCCCCAGTAAGCAGGCCTGGAAGGCTTAATGAGGGGCCTTGTGGTTCTAAGTGGGTGGATACTCCCCACCCCACCCCTGCCTAGGCCTGCCCTGGGGGCTTAATTTCCTCTCTTCACACCCACAGCTCACCAAACCTAGCTCATCCACAGCTGGGGGCCTCCTTGCCATCTCTCCCATCCATCCTTCTCTGGTCCTACCCCCCCACCCCCTGCTGCTGCTTCACCCTCCCATGGTGCCCCGTTCCAGGCTCAGCTCTGTCTTGGCCTTCTTGGTGGCCTGGAACACAGGGATGTCTCTAAGTCGGCCTCCGTGGCCTCTGGGCACTATGGGAGGAGGAGGGTGGCCCAGGGCTTGGCTGCCTCCACACGGGCATAGTACCCACTTTGGAGGGGGTACTATGCACAGGGCAGGGACCTCCAGACTGGCAGCGTCTGGCACAGCTGTGGCTCCAGGAACAAACCCAGGTTCAGAGGGTTGCCAGTTCCTCGGCCAGCCTGACAGTGCAGGTGTGATGGGCGGCCCGGCTCCCCTCTGCTCCCTCAGCACTCAACCCCCTAGTTTCAAAGTATTTTCCCTAAGTATTTTCCACTGTGATCGAGTCAGTGGATTCTGACTCACAGTGACCCTATGCGACAGACCATACCTGCCTCTGTGGGTTTCTGAGACTGTCGGGGTGCGGTGGGGGAGCGGGGCTGGTGGTGCTGTGGGTCAGAACCCACCCGTTGCTCTTCGGAGAAGGATGAGGTTGTCTGCGTGCCGGAAACCCGAGGGAGCGGTTCTACTCTGTCCTGCAGGGTCACGATGAGTTGCAATGAGCCCACACTGTGGGCAGGTTCAGATGTTACAGACCCTTGGCCAGACTTTACTGGAGCCCGGTGTGGGGGGCGGGGTAGTGGTTATACACTTGGCTGGTAACCTCAAGGTCAGCAGTTCGAATCCACAGGTGTTATGCAGGAGAAAGAGGAGGCTTTCTCCTCCCGTAAAGCGTTACAGTCTAGAAACCCACAGGGGCCGTCTCCTTTGTCTCTGAGAGTCAGAATGGACTCCGTGGCCCTGCGTTTAGAAGTTTGGCCGCACTCTGCTGCTGGGCTCCGCCCCCGTCCCAGCTCCGCCCCGGGCACCGCCCACCGCCCACATGGCCCCGCCCCAGGCCCCGCCCCTCCCTCCGCGCTCACCCCTGCTCCTCCATCATCTCCTGCAGCTCCATGCACTTGAGCTCCACACGCCGCTTGCGCTCGTGGTCCAGGATCTCGCGGTGCGCGCGCTTCCCCAGGCCGGGCTCGGCGGCGCGCAGCTCGTCCTCGGCCCGCGGCCAGGCCGCGGAGGAAGCGCCGGGCTGCGGGAAGCCGTTGGAGGCGTCGGGCGGGGCGGGCATGTTGGCTGCCCCGTTATTCACCGTGGAGGACATGGCGCTGAGCCTCGGTCGCAGACCCTGTGGAGCAGACAGAGACCGGGACGGGCTGGTCACTTCTCAGCCGCCTGCTAAACTCCCCTGGGCGCGAGTTAATCCTGGGGATTTTAGGGTCCATCCACCGCGCGCTAATCTGCTTCTCGAGCGCTGCTGGGGGGCGGGGGGCGGTTGGACAGCGGCTCAGCACCTTGGGTTCTAGCTCAGGGTCGAAGGAGAGATCGGATATCTGCTCCCCTTCTCTGAAAGGTGACGTCCGGAGGGCCTTGGTTTGGGGCCGTGAGCCTCTCAAGGGTCTGGACCGACAGCTAGGGGCCTTCTCTGCCTGGCACAAACGTGGACACCGCCCAGTCCTGCTGGCACGCCTCCCTCACCCCTAGTCACCCAAGTGGGTCCCTGAGAATCGTGGTTTAAACCTGGCTCCCACCCCAAAGCAGGCCTATGGCTCACCATCTGTGAGTTTGTCCTCTCATTTTCCCTGGCGCCCAGTTGTCTTGACTCTGGCCTGTGGAGTCAGGTCACATTTGCCTGGGGGCTGCCCTGGAGCACTAAGAAGTTCACCCCTTCCAGATGCAGTTCCATCCCCACCTCAATGTGGGGCGCTAAGCCAGACCCAGGCCCGCAAGACCGCCCCCTTCTTTGTTCTGGAAAAAGCTGCTTCTGACCATGTGGCCAATGGTGATACTGGCTTAGCTTTGGGGGTGGCCACATCTACCTGCAGGCTTGAGGTGGCGCGCCCACCCCACGGCTTGGGTGGTGAGAAGGCCTAGCCCCCACCCCAGGCTTGCAATTGAGAAGCAGGACACACACGGCATAGCAGGACCTTCACGGGAGGAGGCACCCCCGGAGCTATTTCGATTTCCCTTCTCCAAGGCTCTGCCGGTTGCTAAGCAACAGGGAGGCCTCCTTCCCAGAGAGTGGGCTGGGAAGGAGGGCAGGGGTGGATAGGGGGAAGAGAAGTGGGAGGGATCTGTCTGGGTACCCTGGGTGGGTCCTTCTCGGCTACCCTTGCCCACACTACCCCCCCACCCCCACCCCTACCTCCTGTCTCAGAGTGATGGGGGCGGGGCTGAAAGGCAGAGAGATAGAGAGAGCGGAGCGTCTAGGGATAAGTGAGATGAGAACATTAGTTCCTTTTACGTGATCTTCCCCGAGAGCCCCAAGTCCCTGGGATCTAGGCCAGCCTCCTCTGCTGCTTGCTCTGTGGCCCTGTGCAAGTCACTGCCCCTCTCGGGGCCCTGGATCCTCACCTGTGCCTGAGCTCATCACCCAGGTTCTTCAGGAGAGGGAGCAGCAGTGCCTGGGGGCTTACAGACAAAGCTACCCTTCTACCCCCTCCACTTCCAAACACAGTGGGCTTGCTACTTCTGCCCCAAGCCAGTCCTGCACCCCCAGCTCTCCAGGGCTGCCCCACTCACCAAGCCCCCAATACCCACCCCCGCCTGGGGACCTGGCTCAGAGAGCCTGAGATACACGTGGGCTATTGAAGACCCTCTTTGCCCATCACAGGTCATTTGTCATGAAGTTTGGCCTCTTCTCCTCTCACTTCAGCACCATCCACGTTTGTCCACGTCCTCCTCTCTCATCTGTCACCACCTTAACCCAAGCCTGACCTCCCTCTCTGATCCATTCCCTGCCCTCAGGCCTCTTCCTGTCCAGCCTCCATCAGCAATCTGGCAGGCTGGTTCTGGAACAAATCAGCCTGTGTCCTGCCCTGTCTCCAGTGGTTGCCTGTCGCCATGCCCTGAAGTAGTGACCCTGTCCCAGCCTCCCCTCCTCCCCCAAGACTCACCCTCACTCCCAACCCCACCTTCTTCATCTCTCTAGCCCCTAGGCCTTTCTGCTGGCTGCCTCCTTTCCCTGGAGCACATGTCACCTGGCTCTCCAAATCCCAAAAGCAAACCCACTGCCATTGGGTGGATGCTCACTCAGAGTGGCCTTATGGGACAAGGTAGAACTGCCCCCGTGAGTTTATGAAACTGTCACTCTTTACAGCTGGTGGTTTCGAACTGCGACTCGGTCGCAGTCCAACATGTAACCACTACGCCACTAGGGCTCTTCACCTGGCTCTTATTTGTCTGCAAAACCAAATAGGTATCCTCACCTTCCAGAAGCTTCCTTCCGCTCTGGTTGGTCCTACCCTCCCAGAGCTCCGGCTACTGGCTGTGGGTCATTGTGGGTTTGCAGTTTGGCTCCACCTTGGTTGAAGGCAATTTAGTATTTGGCCGCCAATGGCCAGCAAAGTGCCTACAACCTGTGCTGGTGGCCCACAGGCAAGACCATTAAAGAGGAGAAGCGCTGGAAGAACGCATGACCTGATCCTAAAGAGAGCCTGCAAGGCCCCTCACCGACTCTGCCTTCTGTTCTCACACCCTGCCCTCTCAGCCTTGGTCATTGTGCTGGGCTGAACTGGGTCCCCGCCAAAAGGTATGTTGACATCTTCACTCCAAACCAGTGAACGTGACCTTATTTGGAAACGAGTCATTCATTGCTAATGTAGTTAGTTAAGATGAGCTTATTAGGCTGGGCCCTAATCTCTTCACAGCTGGCCCTAAGGAGGAGAGAGACACATGCAGGGATGCTGGCCACAGAAAGATGGAGGCAGGGATGGTCATGCTGCTGCCACAAGCCAAGGGATGCCTGGAACTAGAATGGACAAGGAAGGATTTCCCTCTAGAGAACTCGGAAGGAACATGGTTCTGGGGCCACCCTAAATGGACTTGCAGCTTCTGGCGCTGTGAGAGAGTGCATTTCTGTTTTCAGCCACCGCCTTGGTGGAGATTCCTTGCTCTCCAGACAGGACCCTTCACATCTCGGCACCCTCACTAATACTCTTCTCCTTGGCTGGAGGTCAGGTTCCCTTGTTCGCCACCCAGTGCACTCAGATGCGCTCCTTAAAACGTGCACTCGGCCTCCGGGGCCCAGCCGGAATGGCGCCTCTCCCAGGAAACCTTCCTCTCTGCTATGGCAGGCTACGTCACAACGTCTGTCCAGATTTCTTTCGTAGGACACTCAGGTGTGGAGATCCCATTTGCTGTTGGTAAGTCTGCTTCCCTGTTGAGCTATTGGAAGGGAGGGGGACCCCCCTTCCCCTCGGGCTCCCTAGACTCTACCCTAGCACCTGGCCTTGCTAGAGGCAGGTAGAGAGGCGGGAAGAAAATGCTCCCATGAGTTTTTGGAGCCAGATGCTGGCCCAGGGGAGGGGGAGCTGGCAGGAGCAGCTCTGGATGCACTCAGATTTCCAGACTTCCCAGGAAGTGGGGGGAATGAATGGCTGGATTAGGCTGCCTGACTGCTGAGGACTGCTGAGGGCAAGGCTTGCAGAAAGGTCTGCAGGTGTGTGGGGGCTGGGGGGTGGGGGCTGGGGGAAGGTTGTAAGGACAGGAGGGTGTAGGTGCAGCCTGGAGTTTCACGAAGACAGATGGTGGATCACAGCAACATCACCTGGTGGGTAGAAGGGGGCAAGGCTGGTCTCTGGGGCAGGGTATTGAGAGGCGGCCCCCTGGGTCCCTAGATGAGTGCGCAGTAACCACAAGGCAGGCACAGTACCAGTTCCCTAGAAGTGCACCATTGCACACTAAGGCCACTTCCTTCCGAGGCAGGGTGGTAGGGCCAGCAGACTAGAGGATTGCTTGGGGCACAGGGGCTGCTGATTAGGTATCTCACATCTTTTATGACTTTCCTGTGAGGGTTCCGAAGGAGAAGCCACTGTGCTGGTGGCCACTCCTGTTCTGCTCTTGCAATTGGCTGATGGGTTGACCTGTGTCCAAAGGGGGCTGAATGTCACATTAGATGGAGGACCACATGGCTCCGCCGCCAGCCATGTCTGGTCCAGTATGTTCACCAGTGACTGGACAGGAAGACTGGAGCTTGATGATCAGATTCACCCAGGACACAACCTAGAAAGGTTCCGAATGAGAGATTCAGGATCCAGAGCAACAGACCAGAAAGGCGGATGGAATCGAAGCAGCTGTGAGGCAGGCGAGTGAGAGATGACGCATTTGGAAAGCCACGTCCAAACCAGCGTTCTAAAATCGGAACAGGGTCAACATAGTTTGTCTGCAGCACAGTTAGAAGGCTTCTAAAGGTTCTAAGTGATCATGGGCTCAATTTGAGTCAATGTCATGGTGTGATGCCCACAGCGTGGGTGTCAGCCACAAGAATGGCGAGCAGGAGTACCCACAGCGACTCATACGCCAGCGTGCGTCACAGCGTATGCTCAGCAGCCCAAAGGTAGGAGCATCTCCGTGCCCACCCGCAGATGAATGGATGGATGCACGGACTGTAATGTGTCCACACAATGGAAGATTACTCAGCCAGAAAGAGAGGCCAAATCCTAATACTGGCTGTACCCAGGATGAACCTTGAAACTGTTAGACTGACGGAAGTAGCTGAGTCACAAAAGGACCAACATCATATGATCCCACTCATAGGAAGAGTTTAGGAGTGGTTACCCAGAGGGGTAAGAGGGTGGGTGGGGGAAAGCAGGGCCCTGGCTGAGTGGTCACTGCCCTTCTGCTAAGGGGGATGAGAAATTTTGGAATTGGAATTGGAGAATTGTGATGGATGAAGGGAGCTGATGTCACTGAATTGCACAGGTAAAAAATGTTGAAACGACACATATTTTCTTCCATATATATTGACTGCAATAAAAGATGTGATCCCCACCCCCATAACAACCCACAGCCTGATGAATGTAATTGATGTCACTGAATTAAACCACACACAAAACCAAATTCACTGCCATCGAGTCAATTCCAACTCACAGCGACTCTGAATCAGGTTTCCTAGGCTCTAAATCCAGACAACCTCATCTTTCTCCCAAGGAGTAGCTGGTGGGTTTGAACCACTGACCTTTCGCTTAGCAGTCCAATGCTTACTCAACAGTGGTGTCTAATAGGAGACAGATATCATATTCACTCGTGCACTCCACAAACATTCCCGAAGCATCTACTCAGGGGACAGGGGCTTTGAAAGGCTGAGGATTTCTAGGTGAACAAGATCCCGTCCTGGACCCTGGGGAG